GTAGACCAATGTTGACCGACCGAGAGGGCTGCATCTTGGGGTCCCCTGGGGTGGTGGTGGTGGTGGAGCCATGACCTCCAGGTAGTGGGCTGGTCGTGGTGGTGGTGATAAACGCCCGTGAGTATGGTACACAGCAACCGTCTCCCTCTTCTGTATGTGCTTCTCTCCTCTCTTCTGGCTCCCACCTGTGGGTGAACAGAAAGGCGACAATACCCGTGTTCCATCTTGTTGTGTGACCCTGTAGTTTGTATAGGGTTCACACAGTCCAATTATAAGCTCTCCTCCTGGCAACAACTACACTTAAATTTTAATAATCCAATTAACTCTGAATGATATTGACTTGGTGGAACATAAAACAGTAACAGAGTAAAGTTAGAGAAGAGAGAATAAGGTCATCACTACTTTTAACCTGTCACACAAAAAAAATCAACACTAATAGACAAAACGCTAGCCTAACTTAACTGTACCGTTCCTAATCTTAAGTACATAAACCGCCGTTACTCCCACCCTTAACCTACAGCCACCTACGTGACCCAGAGTGTTTTCCTAGCTTCTCCGCCGGTCAACAACTTAAAACTGTTGCCACCCCTGTGACCAGACTATCTAACGTCGAGCGTCCCCAACGTGAAGTCTACTGACATACTAAGCCTCCCCCTAGCATGCTGTACAATACCAGTACACCTCGGGTTATTGCGTTCAAATGGAGTAAAACAGTCGATCGCAATAATCTGAGCAGAACCACCACTAAATTCTACTTAAGAACTCCACCTGCCACTCCCCACTGACCTGGAGACCAGCGGTGGCTGGGTGTCCCCGTGGGACATGCGAGGTCACCTGTCACACTCAGCTGACCTGCACAACCCACCAACCGCTAGGTTCCCAAATCGCCAAATCTTATCACTAACATTAATCACTACACACGCAAGTTCTGGTAAACATTCCCTGAACACCACAAAACTCACAAAATCACTAAACACAATACCAGAGAATCACAATCTCCCAACCTGAAAACTCGCTAAATCGCGAAAGTAAAACACCTGTCAAGATCTCCCTGATAGCGCCTGAGCGGCAAAAAGACACGTGGGACTGAACAATGTTAAAAGAACACCAACTACCTACAACATTGTTCAACACCGCTGCCAACATTGTAACGGGGGGTGGGGGAAATAGCTCTATCTTGTCCATTATTCCACCCCCCAGTTAACTAACGAGGCCGGGGGAAACAGCTCTCTCTAGTCCGTTATCCCGTCCCCAGTTAGCTAACTATTCTAGAGCACTCCCAGAGTTCCTAAGGCAACCTCTCTCGTTCAACACCTTGTAACCTAGGTATTTGACTACCTAGGTACTAAGACTACAAGGCGTCGTAACTGGATCAGCTACCCGAAACTCTAGAGAGAACTCTAGAATACAGAATCATTGCCACAAACGTATAAGAGAAAACGAAAGGAAAGAAATGAATAGTGAAGTAATTAGTGAGGGTTTGGGGTGAGAGGCAGAGAGGTGGGAGGAGCGAGGAGGGTCATTAGCTGAAAGTGAGAGTTTAGAGAGGGGTGGAGGGAGAGGAATAGATAGGTAGTAGTAGAAGAGTAGAAAGTAGACGTAGAAGAGTAGATAGTAGAAGACGAAATGCTGCCACCATCCATTCATGATCATTACATACAAGACAAGGAATGGAACTTGTCTGTATCAAAATATTCTCAAAAGATGTTATTACCATGTATCAACTCCAAACATGTACTCGTTAATATCATGAAACCAGTAACCACAGAGGCTTTCTCACCTCAACTCAATTCTCTAGGGAACACAGTGAAAGACCATTTAAATAATGAATTCAACAATTATATTTTTCATGATAAGTATCATAACTTAAGCAATCCAATTAAAATGTTAACGATTAATATTCAAAGTGAGTCATCCTCCAAGAATCTGAGAACCCTACAACTTGACTGCCCCTGATCATCACACAACACTTGTAAAACACGACCAAGTCACCTTAATGTTCACTCACCGAGGACTGAGTCTAAGTTGAATAGAGAGGGGGGGGGGTCTGTAACTTGACAGAGACTGTCTCGCCCCTGCCGGCCGACAGCCTCCCTGCTAGGGACGTCTTCTCTGCTCTCGTCTGCTGTTCTCTTGATTAATGCTCCATGCTGGATAGCTCTCCGAGTTTATATTGGGGAACCTAGTAGCTAACTCCGCCCACAAGTAGATAGCCTCCGGCACTACCAAACCACTCCTTAAACGTCGGCATGTTTGAAGGCTACCCGGCTCCAATTATACGCTTAGCGGAAGCAAGGTGAAATTCTCATGATCTGACCTCAGGTCACTTGGGGTCATTAACGCTTTGAGGTGTGAGATCTCAGGCAGACAACTGGCGCCTCTCAGATCCCTGTCTGTGACTCGTGTACTCTATGTATGTATTAAACTAAACCAAACACTTTTACAGTGTTACACATTTAGAGCTTTTGGCTCGTTAACCATTTAGGGCTTTTGGGTCGTTAACCATTTAGGGCTTTTGGCTCGTTAACCATTAGGGCTTTTGGCTCGTTAACCATTAGGGCTTTTGGCTCGTTAACCATTTAGGGCTTTTGGCTCGTTAACCATTAGGGCTTTTGGCTCGTTAACCATTTAGGGCTTTTGACACGTTAACCATTAGGTCTTTGACTCATTAACCAAGACATGCAGTATTAATTTGAAGATTTTTTGATAATTATCAAATATACAAAAAATAAATTAAAATATTGTGTGGTTGGCCTTCTTGTTACTTGTTATTTTGGCCCAGTTGTGGGGTGGTTTTATAAAGCATTTATACGACCACTTACAAAACCTGTACATCTTTCCTCAGACGTGGCGGCTTTGGTTCTTACATTGAACGTTTGGTTCTTATGAACTCCGAAGCACTATGAGGTTGTTTATAACAATATTCCTGGTTGAGGTACGATCATAAACTGTTTATTAAATGTAAGAGAAAGCCAGCATTATGTGTGATGTACAAGTTTTGTAAGTTGCATACATGCTTGATCTGTCCTGGCTCTGGTTCATGTGATTTTTTTTAACAAGTAAGTTTTAACAAGTAAGTCACAGTAAGTGTTAAAAAAAAATTCTCGACATATACAGTATTTGTAAAGATCGTAATAAAGTATTATAGTCACAAAGCAGATCAGTCAGGTACCCAACATTTAAATTTTTTTTACCTTGCAACCCGGTGATAAGACCCATACTTTGAAGAACCGTGTCATAGGGAGCACCCAAATATCATTTAATAAAGAAGCATTTCATAATATGACTAGTTTTTTCCACTTGAAGCCAGTTTTTGTTTTCAGTGTTTCAGAATGTCTAGAAGATGAACGAATGATGACTAAATGATATTACGGTCGTCGATGTCCCACAGCATCGCTGGTGGCATTGAACTTTCCAGCAATCGCCAAAAAGCCACCTGGCCTCAAAGCTATGGCTAGGGGTAAAATGAAAGTCTTGGTAAACTCTACCAGTTTACTGGGGCAAACTTATATACATAACATTGCTCTATATACAACAAGTTTTACTACTGTAGTTGTGGATATGTGTATATGAATTAATGCACAAGTCAAGCAGCTTGCTATCGCTGGGCCACAATCGCCTAACAACAGTGGTACATGAGTCGACTAAAGACTGGCTATTGTTGCACAGGCACATGTCAAGCATCTAAATGTCACTAAGTACAGATAACCTAATGTCATTGGTACACTAGGAAGCTTAAGACTGTAAAGCTATGACCATGGTGGGTAGCAACATACAATACCAGAATGGGATAAAGTCTCGGTATGTACATCACCAGTCAGTCCTCTTTCCTGCCTTCAGAAGCACTAAGGCCCCATGGGACTGACAAATGGCAAAGTCTAGACCCTTCGCAATTTTATATATGCTGAATATAAAATATAATTTTGTTCGATCCAAGATCGAAGAAAGAATTATCAATAGACCCTTCTATTGATAATTACTTCGCAATTTTAGCAGAGTCCACAATGAATTGACAAATGGCAAAAGTCAATTACACGTTTTCCAAAAGTTAGAGTTACAATGTCTGGAAATGTGGCAGTCAGAATTTGCTTTCGGAAGTCTTAAGTCCCCAAACCAGAAATTTTACTAAGTCCATACACGAGTAAATTCGGCCATGTCCAAAAACCATGAAATTTGTCAGTCCACAAACTCCTCACCAGAGGCTATGACCAACACAAGCACAATAATGACAATATTCCCCAAATGGCTTCATAAGTCACATACTACAAGATTATAAATAATGTATATACTCATGAGTACACTGAGATAAACTGATCCACAAACAATTATCCTCCTCCTCACATGTAGTAAGAAGTCAAGAGAAACAATTGTTTATACAAAACCCAGGAACACACACAACACATGTGTACAGCTCCACAACCAAGAGACCAGTGCTCGTATCTGCCTGCTGACACCTGGTTCAGCCACACAAGTACCAACACTGCAAAAATATATCAACCTCCATATGGAGTACAGAAATAACATAACTTATATCACAAGACTGAGACATGCACAGATGTTCACTACACCCAAATATAGTACACAAATAATAATATACATATACTGTATACATAACAAGAATACCGAGCAACCAACCACCTGAGTTGGTAGCTCTTTCACAGAGCAAGGTTAGGGGGGGGGCAATGGTGGTAGCATAACCGCCCAGCAAGCAAGCAGTTAACACTTACTAACACATCAATATATTATACAAAAGAATAACATAGTAGCATACACATGTATATAATTACATTACAATATAAATAGCCAAAAGTCCTGTAGTAATAATGGAAATAATTGTACTTTGACAGCATTGAATGACCACAGCGTATCTAATCATAACTGGGATATGCTGGGTCATGACAATTACTAAAGGGAAGAAATGTATTCTTTGTAATAAATTAGATACAGCTTTTCCCTGTTGTCTGTTTGTATTATAAATTTTACTTTTTTACTAATGTCAGAATGAGAGTGTCCCAGTGCAAACATTGGCTAATGGCACAGCAAGGAACAGTGTTTCTCCTGTGGCAACAACTGTACCACCACCACTTACTAATGGCACCAGTGTGGTAAGCTTTTCTTCAATATATTTATATCCTGCTTGTATTTTAGTGTATAAGATTGTAATCTTTAAAATTATGCAGTACATACGATTCCAGCAGTGCTGTGTGGTCCGTGTGTTTTATTATAAACTCTCAACATAGTTTATTGTGTTTATTAACCTTACTCATTCTTTTCTGAGCATTGTCCACGTGGTAGTTCCCTTGAGTAATATCCTGTTCCCTCGGGGACATTGTGACTTCATTTGAAGCAGAGTGGATCTTTCCTAGACCTTAATAGGAGGAGGGAAGACACTGGAGAAATTACAATCCCACCCCCATGATTGACAGTCAAGGTACATTCATTATGTTTAAAAACCTCCTCCAAGCAACACTTTAAATAGACTGCAAAGTATTCCTCTGCTTCTCTTAGCAACTAGTAATTAGTTGCCCAGCTGGCCATTGCCACCACCCATCACTCTTTCCCAGGCTCCTCCTTTAACTGGTCATTCTTGACCAGCTCAGTCAAGAATGTAAATCTTATTTCAGTTAAATGACAGTTGGTTCATCCTGAGACTGCTTGGCCTCTCATGCTGTGGGCCTATACTTTATTATGCACTTCACATGAGTGCGCCTTCACATTAGTGCCACTCGAACTTACAAAAACCAATTTGAGCAATTTCTTGACTCTCTCGCTCTCTGAGGAAGCACTGTAAACTAATAATATCATGGTGCCAAGTAGCTTTCCAATAACTAATTTCCATAATGAATATACAGTATACATAGATAATAAAGTTTCGCCTATATGAATTGGTTCGTCATGTATTGAACATGAGGCCAGAATCTGGCCCCCTTAGAGGGGCACAGGGAGCAATGGCCTATGGAAACCCCCCCCACTGTGGTTGGGAGCATTCCATGTCTGTCATCAACTGGGGTTTAGGCACCCAGAATGGTAAGCATAACAAAACAGACCCCACTTGGTAAGAAATTGCAACTGAAGACTGAACAGAGAGGCAGAATTCCCCCAAGTTCTAAAGAAACAAACAAACAAGCAAATGCCATAAACCACTGATGTGCTGCTTGTCCGGGAGGAGGGAGCCCCAGCCCTCCTCTCTCCAGACCTCCCGCGCTGGCTACTCACGGCTCCAGTTCGTTCTCTGATGCGATCTGGGGCGGATGTTAACTGTGGCCTCGATTTCTTGGCAGCTTTTGTGCCTTTGTGGTGTTTTCTGTTAATTATGGTGCAGTGGCCAGGTGTAACATCAGTGTACTGGAGGCTACATATGCTTAGGGCTGTCTTCCCTAAGTGCCCTGTAAGAACTACCCCTGGGTGCTAGGGTTCCCTTCCATAGGTCCTTCGAAATTCCACTTCCGTATGGGTTCTTGCTGCTCGGCATTTACCCAACCCTTGGGCCCAGCTGGGGTTTCGTGGCATTTGTTTGTCCTTGGGTAGGCATGGTGGTGTTCCTGGTTGGGGTGCAAGGTGCTGCGCTGCCTGCTTACCTACATGGCAGCCGTGTTCCTGTTCCTTCTGGAGGAGTTGTACTTTTGCGGGGGTTTTCTTTTATTATTGTTTTCCTTGCCAGGAGGGGGGTCTGCCTTGTTTGACTATTAGTCCATATAGGGTATATTGGTGGCCCTCCTTTAGGGCCCCCGTACTTGTACACGTCACAGGGGTCCAGTTCTTATCTCATCCCCCCTTGTTAGCTTTTGGGTTTAACCGGCTGGCAGTACCATGCCTGGGCTTTCCGTAGATGACATCCCTACGGGCCCTGTAAACCCCCGTTGGGGCAGTTGACGATGGATGTGTCCTGAGTTCCACCTTGCCTTCTGCAAATTTGAGGATTGTTCTGTGCCTTTGTACGGGGGCCTGACAGCTGAGTGGACAGCGCTCGGGATTCGTAGTCCTGAGGTTCCGGGTTCGATCCCCAATGGAGGCGGAAACAAATGGGCAGAGTTTCTTTCACCCTGATCCACCTGTTCATCTAGCAGTAAACAGGTACCTGGGCGTTAGGCAGCTGCTACAGGCTGCTTCCTTGGGGTGTATAACGAAAAAGAGGCCTGGTCGAGGGGACGCTAAGTCCCAAAATCATCTCAAGATAACCTCAAGAAGATTATCACAGGGTGACAGTCACCAGTTTTGCCTCACATCATGGTGCCTGTTGGATCAACGACACCTTTGACCCAGAGTCTTGCAAAATATGTTCTCTGCTCGTCCTCCAGTTTGCCTATTCTATTGTCACTGAGGTTTGGGTACATCCCTCCCTAGATGGGATACGAGAAGCAGAAAACCTCCGGAAGGAAGGAGCTGAGGAACCCAAGGAAACCAGGAACTGAATCCAGGGAGGAGCCGACCCCAAATCATACTCATACAGGGAACGGGGGTAAGAAAACCCTTCCCCCTGCAACAACAAGGTACAGGCAGTATCCTCGTTGCATGCCAGGTTTATGTTGCTGCAATGTTCTAGGTTGGTTGCCCGATCGGATGCCCAGGGGCTGCCCTGTTTTGGTTAAAGGGACCTGGACTTGGGGGCTTTAGTCATTTCAACTTTGGTTCTCTCCTTCTGTCCCTTAGTCCTTCCCCAGTTGGTATTGTTTGCCCTGCTTTCCCCCCCCCCCTCTCTCCTGTTTTGGCTCCCAAACATCTGAGGGTTTCGAAGTCGGGGCAGGGTTTCGTTGGTGATGAGGTTTGGACGGCTTCGGGGGCTGTCCCATTCGAATCGGTTCCTGCCGAGGCTTCTGGGTTCTACTAGCAGACCCCCTTCTTTGCTGCATTTCCCCTGGACGGTCTTTTCTTTTGGGGTAGAGGACGGCTCTGCCCCGGGGCCTGGTTTGAAGGTTCTTGGGGCTGGAAAGGAGTTGACCTGGGGGGCTTGGGGCCCCCTTTTATCCCGCTTGGGTCTTGGTTCCCTCTGCGAGGTTTGTTGTTGCAGGGGGAGGGGTTTTCTTACCCCCGTTCCCTGTACGAGTATGATTTGGGGTCGGCTCCTCCCTGGATTCAGTTCCGGGTTTCCTTGGGTTCCTCAGCTCCCTTCCGGAGGTTTTCTGCTTCTCGCATCCCATCTAGGGAGGTGCGGGAGGCTCTTGTGGCTTATCGCCTGTGTGACCCAGATTTTGCTTCTTTGATGGATTCATCCTTGTTTGAGTGTGGTTCTTCTCCCGTGTTGGGTGTGTTAGGAGGTTCCGGAGTCATCCTGGCTTACAGACTGTTCTTTCTGTTCTTTCTTTGTCAGATGCGCACGCTTGAATGACAGGAGTCTGCTACCGTTCTGCAGGTTTACCTTGAAGGCAAGTTTGAGTGCCTTAATGTGTGCTACTTCACCCCTGTGCTTCCTCTGGATGTTGGCATTGTTCAGCTGCACATGCAGGTTCCTATCCTTTCGGTGTTCTTGGCGGTGTCCTTGGCCTTGTCCTTGGTTGGTGTCTCTGGACCTTAGGGATGCGTATTGGCACGTCCCGATTCATCCAGGGTTCAGGGACTGGTTAAATTTCGCTGTGGGTATCAGGCTTACTGCTTTCGTTGCCTTCCCTTTCGCTTGAATCTGGCACCTTGCGTATTCATGCGTCTTACCTGGGTCATGATGACCTGTCTACGGGTCTTTGGTGGCCGGCCCAGCCTTTGTTTCAGGTGCTGCTTGCGCGGTGTCTTAATCCGGGGCGTTTTCCACAGATCTGCCTCTTTCAGCAGATTGGACCAGTCCGGTACATGGCTGGTTTGGTCTACTTTGCTCTTCGTGTCTGGTCCTTTTGATGTGGGTATATCACCACTTGTATGGTGATCAGGTGGCTTCATTGATGGTGTCCCACCTGTGAGCCTTGTCTCTGCGACAGTTTGAAGTTTCTTGGGGTTCTTTTTGTCATTTTCTCTCTCCATAGAGAGAAAATCATGTCTTTGATTTCTGATTGGGTTTTGTCCTTTCTTGACTTTTTCAGGACAGTCATTTGTCACATGCCAGTATCCCAATACTGTAGCCTCTTATCGTGCGGTGCTGGTTGAGCCTTTTTAGCTTGTATTCGGAGTGGATGTCACTTTGGCCCCATTTCATAAGCTTTCTTGTGCTTTGTTTCACCTCCAGCTTATTCATGCACCACCTGAGGCATCCCAGTCCTAGGACAGGGTGATATCTTTCCTGTTTTCTCCTCGGTTTGTAGTTTCCCCTTTGGTTCAAGATTGTTTTTCCAAGGCCCTGTTTGTGTTGGCATTGGCCTCTGGAGGTCGGGTTGATGAGCTTCATGCTCCTCTGGTGCAGAGGTTTCTGCTCTTTCGGTCCCGGTGGTTGGTTTGTTCGTTTGCAGCCATCTCCTTTTCTGGCGAAGAACGAGACGGCGGCCTTCCGGAGAGGTCCTTGGGTCATTGATGCTTGGTTAGTCAGGCCGGAGGTGCATCATGTGTTGTTCTGTTGCAGCTCTTTGCTGTTAGCTGTGCGCCTCGGCTTCTGTGGCTGGGGACGCACTTTGAGGCTCGAGTCTCCCAGGTCATCCGCAGGGTTATTAAGTCCTGCCAGCTTGCGGTCTACCCCTGTGATCATGATGTTCATAAGTTTGCTGCTTTGGCCGAAATAGAATGCTCCCTACCACATGAGGGTTTCCATAGGCTATTGCTTTCTATGCTTCTGAGGGGGCCAGGTTCTGGCTCGTGGTCCCCGGTAGGCTGAATTCCAATTGACTGATGCCCCAGACTTATTGTATATCAGTCCGATTGCTCCAGGGAGCCTCTGGGGCTCACCCAGAAAATGGCATTTCATTACATTCAATGCTGGTTTTTCAGGTTGGTCTTCAAGTTCCCCAGTTTCTTCTGCTTCAGAATGGTCAGATGATTGCTGCTGCTTCTACCTTACCTTCAAATGGGCAGACTACTACACCAGGTTTGCGTGATTATAATTTTAATAAATTAGCTGCAGCAATATATGTCTGTGCTTGTCATCCTTTAACTTGAGACTTGGCATGTTAGCAACGAGTTTGACTTCAAACATGAAGTATATCAGTTGTTAGATCATTTCATTATCTGTGTTGTTCCCTTATCTAATGATAGTGTTTGGTGAATAGACATTTTTGGCTGCCCATAAGAGGATAGAGAAAATATTTTTCTGGTATGGACTCCTTAGTTGCTTCCTGAGCTGCTTCTTGTAACCACCAAGCTTTAGGCCAACACTTGAGGCCTCTGGGACCCATTTGTTGTAGAGGTGACAGGATGATGTGTATATATTAGACCATGGCAACAGTCAGTCGATGGAGTTCTAAGCCTACCGGGAATCAGCGCCAGAACCTGGCCCCCTCAAGAGAGGTACAAGTAACAATGGCCTATAGACACGCCCCATGTAATTGGAAGCAGTATATGTCTGCCATTTACCAGGTCAAGCACACAGAAAGGTAGGAATTCCAAAACAAACTACAGTTGGTTAAAAATTGAAAACTGAAAGCCTAAGTCTCCAATCGAAAAGATGTAAACAAGGATGATGTCACCACAGCCGCCTCCCTTGGCTGGATGCAGGAGATTGAAAACTTGTGGATGGGCGGAACCGAGGTACCCAAGGGAACCCGGAGAGGAGTTGAGCTCGTATCAAACTCGTACAGGGAGAGGAGAAAGAAAAACTCCTCCCCCGTAACAACAAACCCTGTGCCGAGGGTACCAACACCCAAGTGGGGTCAAATGGGGCCCAAACCCGACAAGTCAACTCCTCCCTAGCCCCCGGGATCCTCCACGTTAGGACCCGGGGCTGAGCCGTCCTATAAACCCTCTGCCTCTGGAGAAAAGGCAGAGTCCACTGGAAAAGCAGGGATGAAGGGGGGGGCCCGCTGGCGCGACCCAAAAGTCCCTGCAGGAGGAACAGGCTCAAATGCTTTTGCCTTCGATTGTAGAATATATATGTCGCATATTAGAGCCCCATAATTATGAGCCTAGCGATATTCCACAAATTACACGCTTTTGAATAATATTATAGCAAAAAAACAGAAGAAGAAACTAATGGGGGAAAAAATTGTGAAATTATATTTGTGGCAACTGCCATCCCACGAGGTGGTGGGGTCGAGTGACCCCGAGCACTTCACCGCTCAGCACCCATCATTTACTCAACTTCTCAGCTCCATCACGGCTAAAGTATATCACATATAATATTATTTTTTAGTTTCCTGTGATCAGAGGTTGCATTTTAACAATTTTGAGAAGAGAAAATATTTTTTTGCAGAGAATTTATTTTCGGCACACAGTGGGAATGTCATATTTTAAGGCCACACAGCACAGTGATTAAACACAAGTGACAAACAAACCCTCTACACCAAGCATGAAAGGAGTGTGTAAATAATGCTTCACTGCAGCAACAGTACTGCACTTACGATGCACTACAGCACTTACATTACTATTATATAAGACACGCTGTTATAGTTACTTAAGAATGCTCCTACATTATTATTTAAGAGACTTTGTATAAGCTAAATAAATAATAATAAAATCCATTTTTAATGTTTATTAACTAGTTTTAAAAATTATCAACTATGTTATGACATTTTGATCATAATTTCTAGGCATGTTTTACTTTAGTAGAACTTTAATTCTTTGCTATCCTCTTTCCTCCTCTTCCACCTCTCCCTGCATTCTCCTCTTCCACATTTCCCTTCCTTTCCTTCCCAAGGCGCCTGACAGCTGAGTGGACAGCGCTTTGGATTTATAGTCCTGAGGTTCCGAGCTCAATCCCCTGTGGAGACGGAGACAAAGGGACAAAATGTTTTTCATCCTGATGCCCCTGCTACCTAGCAGTAAATAGGTACCTGGGAGTTACAGCTGCTACGGGCTGCTTCCTGGGGGTGTGTAACAAAAAGGAGGCCTGGTCAAGGATCGGGTCACAGGGACTCTAAGCCCCGAAATCATCTCGAGATAACCTCAAGAAGATAACCCCCACCCTCCTTTCCTGCACCTTCTCCCTCACCTTTCTTTCCTCCACTTCCCCCCCACACCCTCCTTTCCTCCACTTCCCCCCACACCCTCCTTTCCCCAACTTTCCCCTCACCCTTCTTTCTTCCACTTCCTACTCACCCTCCTTTCCTCTTTGGCACATTGCCTTTTAATATTTTCTTGAAATTATACTTACAACGACCAAATGCATATATTAGTCTTGTATTTATTCAGCGGCACGCACCTTTCCTTCTTTAACAGCTCCAACCAGTACCAGCCCCACCCTCAGCCAGGCATCTAGTGTTTATTCATCTACCGATCTCGCCAAAAAACCGAAGGTGAACTATACCTGTACAGTTTGTGTAAAGTAAATTTTGATTTGTTGTCAGTTTTCAGTTTTTCATGTTAACTATTAAATGGTAATGTTTAAGCTAATTATTAATAATCATAGTAATATTAAAGTTTACATTTTATTCATATAATATTTTGGATAAAAAAAGGTGTGTATTTTTATATCATCCTTGTTTGCTGAAAGGTGTAATAGTAATATACTGTATAGTGTATTTCTTTCCAGACTCCTACAGTACATTCTACGCCCGCTAATAGTACACCAGTTTCAACAAGAACTACACGTAAGGATTGTTTTTGCATTCTGTATGTATATATTGCAAAATATTGTATTTAAATTGTCACGCCGGGAGCATAACTTCAAAGTTTGCAGTGCACATGCCGGGGGCGTGAAAGTGTTAAGATAATGTGTGAAGTAAGGGAAGAACTGCAAAGTTTTGTTGGGAAAAACTCACCCAGATAAAGCTGTAACAGGCTGCTGTATTGACCTTTTGAATGACAATGTGATATCTCACTACAGACAAGTGTTAAATTGTAGGGAAAAGCACAGAGTCTTAGTAAGACAAGCAAGCAGTGAGCCACAACCAGGTCCTAGTAGTATGCCTGCAAAACATAGTGTGTGTACTCCAGAAAAGTCATCACTGCTTGATGTAATAATGGAAGGGGACTCCCCTTCCAAACAGTAACATCTCTCCTCCTTCCCCCCTCCTCACCATCTTCCATACGCCAACAAGAGTCATTAATAAAGGTAAGCTAAAACTTGTGCATACTATAGTGCAAAATGTGTGTGTGTGTGTATTATGTAGGAAATGTATTTTGAAGTTAATATTTTTGGGAGTGTTGAATGGATTAATTCAATTTATATTATTTCTTATGGAAAAATTAGTTTTGAGTTATGACCTGTCTCTTGGAACGGATTACATTCGTTAATGGAGGTACCATTAGGGACCTGACAGCTGAATGGACATCGCTTCAGATTCGTAGTCCTGAGATTCCGGGTTCGATCCCTGGTGGAGTCGGAAACAAAATGAGCAGAATTTCTTTCACCCTGATGCTCCTGTTTCCTAGCAGTAAATAGGTACCTGTACTCTAACATGGCACATAATTGTGCTCAGGTGGCTACTAATAGGGATGATATTATTACAGCAGTTGTAACATAGAATTGGTAAATAGAGAGTCATTTCCATCACGTGTACCACAATACAACCACTACACTATCGACTTGTGAATGGTCCAGGACGGACCGAAACGTAGTCGTCCCTACACCTTCTAGTGTGTGGTCTGGTCAACATTCTTCAGTCACGTTATTGTGACTCATCGCCTGCACCACTACACTATATAACCATTTATTTGTCCTGTTTCAGGAAGTTCTGCTAATGCTAACAAGAACAATGTTCCTACTCGGTCGAGCAGTCCAGATATCCAAGTGTTACGGGAGATGAGGATCTCTCCACAAACTACATCACCTACTCAAGTGAGAACAGCCTTTGCACTTTCTTTTCATGTGTGATTTTATTATAGGAGCTTTCATTTTTATAAGAGGATTTAATGGCAACAGTTTTTGTGTGGGTAAAAATTTAAAATACATTTTGAGTTCAGTGCATTTGACAATTGCCTTGGAAGGAGACTTTGCCAGTGGGAGTCATTCTTATAAGCAATATCGTGTAATTGATAATTAATGTAATTGATTTCATAAATAATGAATATAATACAATTTTGTACAGTAGTTCAAAACCATAATTATGTAGATTCATTTGGGAATCATTAAAGATTATATAAATTCAGAATTATATTGGTACTGTACAAGTAAAACAGATTTATTGGCTTATATTAAAAATCATTTTTCTAGCCAACATCAACTGTGACAAGTAGTAGTAACACTACTACAAACAACAACAATTCTGGCGTCAACAAATTCATGCCATTACTTAATGTCGTAGCCAGACCCAAGAATACTCTTCCCCCTGCAGTTGCAATGAATCAACGTAAGGAACTTGGTAAGTTAGAGTATGATTATAGTTTTTTGTTTGGGTGTTTTAGGTTTTTAGTTTTATTTTTGTTCGTTTTCTGTGGGGAGCCCCTCCTGCTCCCTGGAGCTATTGGACTGATATACACTTAAGTCTGGGGCATCAGTCAATGGAGTTCTGCTTACTGGAGATCACGAGCCAGAACCTGGCCCTCCCTCAGAGAGGTGCAGGGAGCCTGTGGAAACTCCCATATGCTTGGGAACATTCCATATCTGCTATCGACTGGGGTTAGGCACCCAGAAAGGTAAGCATAACAAAACAAACCCCCACTAATTAAAATTGCAGCTGAAGACTGAACAGAGAGAGGAACTCCCCGAAAAACATAAGGAAACACACACACTAGCAAACGTCACTCACTGCACGCACACTGGTTGTCTGAGCAGCGCAACCCTCCCCTCCCTGGGAGTGGAAGGGTGGAGCCCCGGACCCCCACGCCGGCTACTCACACCTCAATTCATAGGCTGATGTGCTCTGTGGGAAGTGTAATTTTTTCACTTTGTCTTGAGATACCTCTATGTATTCTATGGCGTGCTCTGGAAGTGGTATTTTGTCCGGGTTTCTGAAATCCTCATTTTGTCCAAACACACTTTGGAACTGTTCATTTAGCATTTCACACATTTCTTTTTCATTGTCAGTTGTCCTGTTCCCGTGTTGTGTTAGGTCTTTATCGTGCCTTGCTTCTTCAATGTCACTACCCATATCTTCAAAAAATAAGGTCTGAATTTCAGAGAGCAATTTTTCGACACTGCGTCCAATAGGGAACTGGGAGCTGGAGGCACATGTGCCAGCAATGGTTTCTCACTCAACTGAGCCTACCCACAGCCCTGGGGCATGCTAGGAATTTTTTTAAAGATAACTGCCACTCACTGGAGGTCTCAGACGTTCATCTCGTACCCAACTTGCTGCTCTTGCATTTTGAATCTAACGATATCCTAACATAATTCATATGTTGGGTGGCACACCACCATACTCCGTGTTTTCTCGGGTGGCGCACCACCATACCCCGTGTTTTGTCAGGTGGCGCACCACTATACCTCGTATTTTGTCCGGTGGCGCAATGCAGTGGTTAATGATGTGGATCTGTAATTTTGAGGGTCATTTACCATTTTTGTAGATTGGAACCATGTTTGCCTTTTTCCAAGTATCTGCTAAGATTCCTGTGGACAATGATGTCTGGAATATCAATTGGAGTGGGATGCTCAGCTCAGTGGCACATTCTCTCAGCATCCAAAGTGAAATGCCATCCGGTCCAATAGCTTTTATTTATTTCTAGCCCCTTCAGTAAATTTTCCGTTTCGTCTCGAGACACCTCTATGTACTCTATGGTGTTTTCTGGAATTGGCATTTTGTCTGACTCTCTGAAATCTAAATTTTTTACAAACACAATTTGGGGCTGTTCATTCCTCTTAGTATCCACAGTGATACTTTGTCTGGCCCAACTGCTTTAGTTTCATCCAGTGTTAGCCGTTTCATTACCATCTCAGCTGTCACTTCTATATCTGATAGTCTCTCATCTTGGGTCATCTTCTCGTCTAACAATGGGATCTGCTCAGGCTCAGTTGTGAACATTCCATGGAAACTAGCATTCAATACCTTGCAGATTTCCTTGTCGCTTTCCGTATATGCCCCTCCTGTTTTCCTTAGTCTTGTCATTTGGTTGTTCAGACATTTTCCATCTTATATGACTAGTAATTTAGGTGTGTGTGTGTGTCCGTAAACACACAGTAACAGTAAAGTTGGTTAAATTTCACAAACTAATAATCTTTTCATAATCAATAATGTGTGTTTATATTAGCTCCCATAGTCACTAATAAATATGAATGGTCAATCACTAACAATGTCCTTTACCACTGTCACTTATTTGGCGTTATAAATCACTAGAACACTGCCCACTGCTGCTGTCATTTACTTGGTACTGTAACTTGCTTACGTGTGTTTCACCGGCAGATCTCCGTATTACCTCGCCCACCCACACAGTGCACCTGGTGTTAATGATTCATCTCTGTTTACCTTTCCCTGTATTTAACTAGGCTACTGCACGGTTTCACTTAAATCACCATTACTGTGATCACTGTTGCTACTTTGTCCATAATTCCAATAATTATAACACCAGACTGGGCTCATTGTACTCATGCTATATATTTATTGCGGCCTCTGCATTAATTATGCCACTCGGTTCGTATCCATAGATAAGTTGGCTTGAGAATACATTTCTGGGGCGCTTTAATGCAGTCAAAGTATAATTAATTTTAATTATATTTGCAGATGCTAAAGTTAAATCGGTGCTAGTCAAATCTGCACAAGAATTTGTCGAGTGGTTGCTTGGTGAAGGGATGATACGCACCTCTCAGTACTGCACAGCACACAAGATTCAGCCAACAATGACACCAGTTAAACTCAAAGTAAGTGAACTACTGTACTATTCCCATATATTCAGATTTGTTTCATTACAAGGGTAGGCCATCATCATTGTTGTACATTTTGAAGTACTGGATAGATATGCATGATGCACATGTTACTAGTATATTCTCTCTTCATTTAAGTCAATTTACATTGCAGCTCGGAATGTTCTCGGACCCAAAAGTGCTCTCGACTAGTGGAGGATATGTGTGGATTAGTGAATGCTGTGGGAAGAAGTATGTCTCGGTGTACAGTGGTTCAATTTTTGGATCAACTCCTATTGACAAAGTACCACCTACATCTGTGCTGAAGCTGGTTTACCACTGGGCTTGTCAGACATCTGTCAGTAATGTGGAATCATGGGTTAAGGTAAGATAGTGTGGCTGGAGCTGAATTTCTAATACACTTTTTGGATTGAGTGTTTATATGCATTTATGAATGACATGTGTACTCTTGTGAATGGCATGTATGTTTGCATATGAATGGCATGTGTGTGAGAATGACATACGTGTACGTGTGTGAATGGCATGTGTGTTCGTGGGTGAATGGTATGGGTGTACTCTTGTGTGTGCGTACATATGAATGTCGTTGTATGTGTTCTTACATATAAGTGTGGGGAATAGACTATTCCTTCTGATAATAGGCTGTTTGTCCCCCCTCATCTATCTCCTCTTTATGTTGTATGGTATGTTGTGATTATCTCCATTAGTCCTTTTTGCCTAGTGTTAAATTGAGTTCCCTTAGCCTTTCTTCATAGCTTC